AATGCAAAAGTCACGACTTACTCATTTTTGGAAAACCAGTAGCTTCCTCTCCTACGGTTCGAAAGGCGGTAGTTATCTTGTCAGCCTGTGTTTTCTTTTCGCTATTCTTTTTGAAGACATCAACAACTTTGGTTGCTAAAAAGAATCCAGGGAGAACTTAGAAGAAAGTTTATCGTCATAATAAGGAGCCCTTACTTTTTTCAAATAGAAGGAATATCATGTATGAGCAGACATTACGTTCCGCCGTAGGAAAAATGGGTTAAGGGTACTGATCGCATAAAACATAGTACTAAAACTTCCAAATCTGCAAAATATAAAAGGGGAAATATTTTATAGATAGTGACAACTGTTCATTGAAGTGTATTGACTTCAATGGGCTCAAAAAGCTCAAAATAGTTAATTTAACGGCAAACATATAACATAACCAAGGAGAAAACTAGACTATGAATTAGTTTAACTTCATTGCTAAGGAAATGTTAGTTCATCGACGGGCACAGCAAGAGTAGGCTCAAAAAACTGAACGTTTAGTTTATTCCCCCAGGAAAATAATATGCACGTTTGAGATAATTGATACAAACGGGATAAAAGCCTGAAGAGCCTGAAGGTGTCTAATAAATTGTGAAATAGTATGCGGTATTTAAACCTGCTAACAAAGTATTGAGAATGCTCCTTTATTCCTAAAGCGGCAGACTGGCGTTAAGACACAATAAATGGCGATTCAAACGTCGACAGATACTAAGGAAAGGTAGTCGAAAGACAAACAACTCGCATGGTAATGCGGTGGATAATAAACATTTGGAATGTCGGTTCACTAACCTGCATATTATGAATGCAATATAATTATTTCATAAGAAAAACGAATTGAAATATTTAAGTAGAATTTAGGAAATAAGGCAGATGGAGAGTGCTTATGATCCTAAGGACAACCCCCGATTCATTGTATTGTCTTTCTAAAAACAGGTTATCGCTCTGAAAATGCTTCACCTTTTACCATCCTAGAGAAGAGTGACGAACGTACGTGCCCCATGTATTGCACACCAAATGTTAACGTTGGCACTCGAACATCAAGCTTGTGTAGAACGTTCATGCCAAACCGCCTACATAGCATTATGTCTTGCCTTGCTGCCTGACGGAAAGCTAATGGCAAAATGTCCACCGTCGCTCTGTTACAGGGAAACAGCAGAAATGCATTGCCCTTTTGGGTTTCGTAATGAAGAGTAGATTGAGCAAAGTATCAACAGATTTTCACTTAAACTAAAAAACTAAACATAAATTTACTATTGTTTACTACGCTCAGCTTAAAAGTGATAATAATAATCTCGCGTTGCGCAAAAAAATCGATAGCAGAGCTGAAGGTCATTCCCGCTAAATACACGGTGAGCTGTACATTTTATTATTCCTTGAAAATGGCCTCGAGTGAGAGTCCGAAACATCGGGCAAATAAAATATTGGTCCCAGAGAACGTCTTTCCGCCTTCTATTCATTTACCTGGGCCTCGCATATTTTCGACTACTTAAGTAGTCATTGTAAGTAACTATGGCTGCCTTAATCTACGAAATGTAGTGTACGGATTTTCCGGTCAGCAAGTAATGTGTAAGAACGCACGTATAAGTTTCATAATTTATGAAAATCCATAACTACCTAGTTCACTAGCATGAAGAAAATTTCAACATAATTATGCTAATTATGATTTCATGGTTGTGGGGTCTGTATGCAGAGAAACATGTGTGTGATTCAAAAAGTAAATTATATTGCACAAACCTGCGGTTACGTCAACAAACTGTTCGACAGCTGCGATCACTTGGTTACACCATGGCTTCATTTTATCTAATTGAGCGAGAAGCTCAGCAGTTTCTGCCTGGGGTGCAGTTTTCTCCGACTTTGTCAATGTCTCTCCAGCTTTCTGCACATGGTAAACTTAGTTAAGGAATGCATACCTGTTGAAGACGATTGAAGACAGTGCCGATATTCGACATGTTGATGTTAGCTGTGACGAACTTTACGGTAAATTAATTTGCTGCGGTTCTTTGGCATACGCATGAACTGGAGCAGAAAAACAAAATACCAAAATAATCGAGCACCTTTAGGGCTTGGATTGAGATTTAAATTATGAAAGGCCCACAATGTTCTTAAACCGTTGTCTTTTGTTGATGTTTTATTAAGAAGGTAAATTAACGTATTATCTATCTGTCATGAAACGTCTTTTGCATATTCAGCTCCCGGTGTTGGTTAAGGTTGATGTCTGCCTAAATTGGAGTAATCAAGAACATGATGCCAACTTTCCAGTATAAAATGCAAGAATCTGAAAGTATAAGGCCCCTTAGCTATTCAAAAGAGACCCTGGGCAAGGGACTCAGAAAGCTGAGACAATTGCACTACTAATCACCTAACCAAAGTTCCTTCGAATATAATAGAATTTACTCGAGAAAAAAAGGAACTCGTTTCCAACAAGAGAAGACCAGTCAGCTGGGTATTTAGACCTTCTTGCTCTAAAGCATTCTAAAATAAGGCTGCGAGTCCCTAATTCGGCTTGGTGGTTCCGATTATTGTCACCGACACATTTCCGGCAAACAAGTAGGAAGAGGTTTGAGTTTCATCAGGCGGGTATGGGCAGATGGCCAGGCCGACAAATGGTAAACACTTCTACAGATCCCAATACATGTACAGCACTTATTTTTTCAGTCGGAGGCCATGGCGGTTTCACCCTTGTCTCTGCAACTCACGAGGCTCCGAAGAATTAGCCCCAGAAACCATTTAAAAATACTGCAGACAAACACGGATTTGACTGATAAACCACTAACAGCAACACAGCTACTATCAAGGTTCGCAGATACATGTTTTACCGATTCGCCGACGATGCATTGCGCAGCCAAGATAAAATGAGGCCACCAGCTGGTTCCTCGGAGTGTATTACTTACCTACTTCAACAGTGCTCAAACGGTCCCATCAAGCAAAAGCCAGACAGTCCAATCCCATGACCGCACCGCGACTCTACACTCTCTGATTCAAAGACCCCTAATGTGCTTCTATGAAGGTTTTCTCAGCCGTTCTACACCTGACGCAGCAACTTGTCCACCTGTTCCTCCTGATCGTGGTCACAGAAATCTACATAGTCTATGAACGAATACTCAAATATATTCATTTAAAAGGAGATCAGAGTGTAGGCTACTAAAGACACAACAGACTCTGATTTTAGTATTACCGGCAAAGACAAGGGAGACTGGAATGACCATTTCTGGATTGTTAGCCGTCGTCAACCAGTCCTACCCAACCCCAAGGGGCACATCACCCGAGGCTCGAACTCGCGACATTTTGATCAGAAGTTTAACGCTCCAACCATTGAGTCACGAGTTCGTTGTCCCGCCGATTTAGTTCGACATTTTCAGTTCTAATTACATCCGACGGGCACATTTTGGATCTGACGTAACTCGCAGCAGGGACTTCGAAAAAACGCCAACCACCAAAGAAAGACAAGCATGAAACAGATTGGTACCAAATATATTCATTATTAATAAGGCTATTTTAGTAACGTGCGAAGATCAGAAGAGTCGGGTCAAGGACAAAGAAAACCCAGAGCACAGAGAAGGAAAATGATAGCAAAGTAGCGGGGAGGTCTCATACAAGCATGTAAAAGAAAAAAGACAAGTTAAAGACATTATTAGTTGTGATGGGGATCAGCAAAGGCCAATTGTTGTCGATATCACAGCTAAAATTGAATGAAAAAAATCGGATTAATCCATGTGGATCTTAGGTTTATGTTAACAAAAGGAAAGTCGTCGTAGGCCCGCATCATACGGTATTTATATCTATATTGTAGCTTTAAGCACACTCAAAATACCTCTACCGAAAGATTATTTGTTCCCAGTTTCCCTTGCATAGTTTGCTTTTCGACGATTACCTCTACCAGCAATACCAATTAGTGCTATACCGGACCCATCAGCATCGTGTGTTGCGTGCTTGTTGGCTGATGTATGGAGTTAGAGGTAGGCGATGTTTTCCGACCCTCATACCATGTGGTACTACGTAGCAGCGTGGGCAGATCGATAATCGATATCGTGACCGTCCCCCGTCCATCTTATAACATGTACTTTTAGCGTAAGATAGGCGATAGTGAGAGGGCGGGGTCATGGCGACGTTGTAGGAGCGGTCGTCTTTGGAACAGTAGCTTTAGGGCTGACTTGAGACAGTGTCTCATAGCAACGTAAGACAGGCAGCGAGTTGTCGATTACAGGGGTGAGAGGTGAACCCAGGCAAGACTGGCTGCGCCCGGCAGATTAGATATAAGCTCCAGCGCTGTCTTTATTCAGCGCTATACTTGTACGTGGGATAGTCTGGAGGCGGTGGATAAAGGGGGAGCTGACGCTCCAGAAGACTAGGCACAAATCTTGCGCCGACTTAAGCCACATTAAATAGAACCTTCAGAGCTGCCATAATCCGACGCCACACTCAAGCGTGGAATAGGCTGGCGACCATAGATAACAGAGACATCAATAATCCGGAAGACCAGGTTGAAGTCATAGCGCGTTGTAAGTGCATGTGGCAACACAGCTTACTTTAATTGTCACATATGACTTTGGAAATGTATTTTAACAAGCATGTAAGCTCAGTAGGTACGGCTGATCCTCAGTTCCTTCCGCATGCAAATCCTGTGCTACGTGCAGGATGCGAGTCTGAGACCAACACGGTTTACCATGGCTGAGGATTTAGACAGATGACACATTTAGCAGACATACCACCAGTCTAGAATGTGTTTTGTGTAGTGGCTAATGACTGGACTGGGAGTCAGGCGGCGAGAGCTCCTTCATATCCTCTGATTGTGTTTGAATCAAGGGGACTAGGTCGTGCTGTGGCGCCCGCAGACAGGTCGTCGGCCCTGTAAGACAGTACAGCCGTTCCCGCCTCCGGTCTTAATAACTATTTCTTGACATGCGGCTCAGATGGATGGGGGAAGAGAGTGTGGTAGGTAGGGTCGTCTGACCCTGTCGATTTCATTGCAGCCCAGTGTGGTAGATGCTGCGCACGTCTAGTATTACTAATTCACACAAAAGGCGCCATCCCTATACCACTCTATCGTGCAACATACGGTGGACCTCGTCGAAACCGACGATCAAACTATCAATATATATATGCAAAACGGACAAGCATTTTGTCAGGGTTCAGTTCAGAACCGCAATAAGAAGTGTGTGTATCGAAGTAAGCACGGCCAAAACAGAATATGACCCCCTAACTGCGGTCGACCGTGAGAAATCTTGTGTCAACAGAATATAGTTTGGGTCTGTGTTACTGGAGCAGGCAGTCCGTTTGGCCTAGGACACACAAACACGAACCGCTATAGTTTAGCTTAGGCCTAAGTGTTAAGAAAAAACTTGAAGTTTGGGCGAGAGGGTTGGAAGTATTCGTACCATTTACGACATCTGGCACAATTTTGTGCATTCCTCCATGCAGCTGGTGTAGTAGGCCTTCTCCTCCGCGGCGAACTGTTTGAAGTGTTCTCTCAAGCCTTCCTATAGAACGCAAAATAAAACAAAAATCAAGACCAGCGTGAGAGGGGAAAGCAATGTAGATCATTCTCAACGAGCAAACCCGTTCGGGGCATAGGTATGCGAGTGCCTTTCAAGCAGTCAAGTATGGAAGATGCTGTAAAAGACGACCTTTCGAAAAAAATGGCTCATAATCGATAAGCCGATCTACCCAGAGTAGACGATACGGTTTTGACTCTAAATTCAGATCAAGGGTAGACGGCTTCCAGGAAATAAAGTGACTACTTCACCGGATAGAAAGACGTACATTTCCAGCCTGTCTTTCGTAAGAGTTAAGCGTTAAATTAAACGCTGACTACCTTCATGGCCAAAACGCACACCCTATCAGCAGTTATAGAGAACAATCACAGTTCTAGAAAAATAGATGTACATATGCGGAATGGCATTTTTGAGGAAGATGAGGGAGACTGAAATGACGACTTTTTACTTATTAGACTTCATCGGCCAGCCATACCCAATTCCAAGTGATGTCGCATCCCATTTCCGAACCCGCGACCTTGATAGCTAGACGTCCAACGCTCTGTATATGCATATATATTGGATAGATGAAATAGAATGCATTCCGAGATGCTATGATGAAGAAGAAAGGCTCATCGGAAAAAAACAAGATATACATGTGAATATTCAAGCAGGTAACACCTGCCCGTCGTCAGACTAAATAAAAAAATTGGAAATTGAAATGATTCTACCGTCACCGTGTGTTCACCGCTCTACGCCCTTTAAACGTCGACTGCCTGTCTGTCCTTTTCTGTCCTGGCGCCCCAACTGGCCTTAACTGACCATTTCACTTTCTCCTTTGTTCACTTAGTCTGACGACGGACAAGTGTTATCTGCTTGAAATTTCACAAGCATATCCTGTTTTTTTCCGACGAACCTTCCTTTTCGTCATATTTATGATGAAATATGAGCATCTCAGGACATTTAATTGAGAAGGGAAAGGCTTCTCTGGGAAAAATTTCACAAACCTTCCCAAATAAATACATATTCACTCAGAAATGGAAGCACACCGATCCAATTGGCTTTCCGAAGTAAACTTATATAAATGAAGTGCATCGGACATAGACAAGGGACTATGATGAACGGGTGAAATGGATCCGTAATGGTCGTTTCTGTCTCCTTCGCTATCATCAGCCAGTCAGACCCAGTCCCACTTCATCCTTTTATACTAATTGCTCTGCGACAACCTGTGAGGGCTCGTTAGAGAGCTGCAATGAACACCGAAAACTCCATTACTCCATTGGTGGAGGAACAATTAAGTTCAACTTCGTCCTGAAGCTCGCAATTAGAGACAGCACAGGCAGTCACATAGTGCCTAGAATGATAGGATAAAATGGATCCGACAAAGTAAAGGGAGACCGGAATGGCCATCTCTGGCTCGTTAGCCGTCATCCGCCAGTCATGCCTAATCCCGGGTGTATATCACTCAGAATTCGAACACGGGACCCTTCGCCATTGAGTGAAACACTCTACCATTGCGCCACAGGCTTTTTGCTCTTGTCGTTTGCGAGCTGGAATATGAGGATAGTAGGGGGCTTATCGATCTATTTAAGGAGCATTAATGTCTTTTTGTGCCCTTCCGCGCACTACAGAGCCCGTGCAGACAGCCGCATAACGATTTTTAAAATATGTTGAAGCGGAACGGACAAGGAGATGGGAGACCGGAATGGCTATTTTGGTTTATTAGCCGTCTGTTTCAGATCGTCGTTGAATTTTCAGCAGATATTCCACGATTTTCTGTCTTTTGAAGCTTTTCATAAATTTAGATGTAACAAAATATAGTGTAAAATGCTTCAATATATAGAAGAAAATTAATCTTCTCATTTTCAGCAGACTTTTATCACTAATGTCTTGAAAATCAAAACAAAGTCAAAATTTCTTATTTTTACCTTGAAGTTGTATTGAAAAACGGTAACTTTCGCAAACATTCGCCAGCTGAGTATCTCATGAAAGGGCTTTTAAAAAAGAGGTAACTTGTTGAATCTTCTCTATATCGAGCGGTAGGACTGTCTGCAGAGATCCTATAGGACTCATAACAATAACCTACTTTTACATTTTCAGTAGCCTGATTTTTCCTCTTTCGATAACTTCCGCCAATGT